TAATTCATACATACACAGCCTCTCTCTCTCTCCCCCCTCTCATAAATGAACACTTGATAAATTACACTTTTCTGAGAATAGAATAGTGGAGATCGCTATACTGCAAGCTAACCGGTGTTTTCAGAAAACAAGCGCGTTTATCCACAGTGGAGAGAGCGCGCGTACACATGGTTGCCAGGTTGACAAAAACAAGTAACACACTTGGCAGATATTTCCGTATTGGGCAAGTGGGAAGCTCTGTTTCAGGGATTATGTCTCTTTATATCAGGCAACCCCGGTTGTGTTCCTCTGCGGCCAGATTAAACCTTGTTGTAGCCTATATATTATGCTCTATTCATTATTTGTTTAAAACCTTGCCCTTTTCTACTCCATTTTAAGCGCTGCTCTTGTATTCAAATTAAGCGTGGTCCACTGCAGTGCATGTGCCGCGATATCGATACAGGGACAGCTGTATCGATATTCGTATCGTCAAATCTCTGTGGCGATACATCGATGTATTGAACACAGCACTACTGTTCACACATGATCTCTTAATGGTAACTTACAGGTAATTTACCAGTAAAGACTGTATGTGTGAGAGGGGCTAAACTCTTCCTCTGCATATGCTGTGAATTTGAATTACCTAACGTTCATCTGGGAAAACATTGTGCATTATCTCACTAGACTTGTAATGTAAATAATTTATCAACTTTGCCAACACAGGAGAATACATCAACCTATTTCTAATTATGCCATTTTTTGTACATCGTGATTTCAAAACAAACACTTCTGAGTTTGCATGTGGCCAAATATTAAAATTTAATGGATTTAAACATAGTTTAATAACGCTGTAAAGTGAAACGTCACCAGGCCGTTTATTCAACGAATTGTTGAATAAAGTCGTTTTTTTTTTCTTTCGCGCACAAAGTATTCTTGTAGCTTTGTAAAATTACAGTTGAACCCCTGATGTCACATGGATTATTTTACAGATCTCCTTGCTACGTTTCTGGTGCGGATGGCGCGGCACACTGTTTTGTTTACTACACACATACTAAAGCGCGGATGACGCTCGCGGTGTTTTCAGCTTCTGCTGTCTCACTATGAACACGAATGTCTTCTCCAGCTGCTCTTGAGAGTCACTTCATTAGCATTTTACCGTTTCATTTGAGAAAACTACCGTCATATCACATACACAGCAGCTGCGAGTTCTTCACGGCAACCCGTCAAAATAAAAGTTTAGTTTAACATTAAGAAACTGTCAGAATATATTACTATTTAGCAGTCTTAAGACTCAATGCTACTACTGCTAAATACATATTAATAAGTCTTTATTTTTAAAGGAATAATCACATCTGTTTTTCTTCTTAATTTTAACAGTAAACCTCTGTTGTGCAGCACTTTGTTTGCCAAAAAATAAAAGGGTTTAATTTTCATTTGATTAGGATAAATTAAATTAATGTTTTATGCCTTCATCTGATTACCAGAAAAATTAAGAACATTTTATAGGGCCTTATTATTGTTTAAAAAAGGACACTATACAATATCAATAGCATTTGTATTAAAACTATATTCACTGAATGTAATAAAAAAAATCGTGATTCGCAAGCTCTCGATTCGAATCGGGACATCTGAATTGATACCCAGCCCTACGTTATTAAATGTGGTATTTTCACGTGCTTTCAGATGGAGCAGCATTTACTACACAGCGCCGTAGTTCACCGAGAAGCTACGCAAACAGCTGTTAGTGCAGAACGATTTCTTCGTTTTAATAATCGCGTGATTATGTCGTCTGCGTTTATTTATTTTTTTTTGTGTAGCTTGTTAGTGAACTAAGACTCGGTGTAGTAAATGCTGCTCCTTCTGAAAGCACATGATGGAGATTTACTTCTGATTACAAAACTGGCTTTACTGACAAGATGCATATGACAATTGCATTCGATTAATCGTGCAGCCCAACTATAATATATTAATGGTATGCCCCTCCCCTCAAACGCAGATGAGCCAATGGCAGTTCAGTATCAGTTGCAAGGGGACCGGAACTCGGACATCTTTAGGTTTCAGCGTCGTAGAGAAACATTGGAAGATCTTAAGCTTTCATCGGTTTGATGGTGTTTATGCTACAAAAATGGAAAAACGATGTGCCCAGGGCACTTGTAACAGATTCTAGGTATCCTGAGAGTATGGGCAATGAAATTAATTTTATTCTATTTCCTAATCCTAAACAAAACAGAGCAAAATGTCCCTAAGCATTCAGTTCCAATCCCAATGAAGATGAAAACGTTCATTTTCTAGTTGTCATACTCTCTTTAAGTTACAATTTTCATCTGCTCAAGCAGTACATTAATGCCATCTTGTGCTTCAGCAAGGTATCTCTGGCTAAAACTAGCTAACGTTAAAGTTAGTGAGTCCATGCTAACATACAAACCTAAACAGCAAACTATTCACAAATCATGTACAGTGTAGGTCAAAAACACATAAAAGGTCTAATGTTACATTTTAGTGCCTCTCCATATTAAACTGGTTAAATGTAAATTAATTTAATCTTACACTGCGGTACACGAACTGTGTTGTCATTGCGATTGTGGCGGCCGTAACATGAGACTTCTCCTGTTTGCATTGTGATCTGTATTTTTTTATATTTATTCTAAAATCTTTTATAAATCTATCCATGGCATATTGAAGTCCCACAGCTGAATGATGGTCCCTCTGTGTCCAAAATTTATCAAAAACATCTTGGGACAAGGTTTTCACACTGAGACATTAAGACAGTTAGCAACTCTGTTTGTTTGTCCGAGTGAGCAAGGGGGGTGGAGCTTACCGATGGGACCACTAATTGAAAGCAGCGCAAGCAAACTGGTCAGCAAACGAGCTCAGAACAGGTTTACTTGGGATCCAATGTTGATCTCGCGACACTGTTACAGCACAGCACAGCACTGTGAGATCTAGTGAGAAGCATTCAAATTCTGCTCAGAATTCTGTTATGAACAGATCAAACAGCGCTGACGCAGAAACCCAGAAGCAGTAACGCTAACTATACCCATGATGTTGCGGCAGAAATAGTACAGTGTTATTACATCATTAATTTCAGGGTTTGTACAACCTTTTGAGAGAGAAATTCAAGAACTTTTCAGTGACTTTCAAGTATTCCACACAGCTGTTTCCAGCACTTTAAAACTCTAAAAATGATCCAATTGGACAAAACACAATGTATATCAAAATATAGTTTTGTGGTTAATAAACACTTGTGTAAAATTAAAAAATACATACAATTACCACAATAACCAGTAGATGGCAGCAGAGGAGCACTTATTGGCTTATTAGTCATTCATTTCTACTTGCTTTATATTTTGAAATTATAAAATAACTATTCTAAAACATCAGATCATCAAGAAATCAATTTTTGTCAAAGTTTTGCACAATTTTTTGTGTATGTAGTACGAAAATCACCAATCTTTCCTTCACTTTTTGACTGAATTGCACATCAATTAAAATCACTGAAGTTGTCTGTCGGTCAGTTCTATATAATACTAGGGATGCACCGATACCACTTTTTTTCAGAACGAGACCGATACTTTAATTTTTGGTACTCGCCGATACCGATACCTGTATCTTCACAGCATTTGTAATTTGTTTTTTTAAATATCGGGTACAGTAACAAAATAATAGTAATAATAATAATATGAATCATGTTAGTTGGTTCATATAGCAAACAGATATTACCTTCAATTATTTCCACACTTAATTATACCTGTTAAAATGTATTGTATAAGCTTTTGTTACTTTCACTGTTCATTTTAATGGCACATTAAAGCTGCGCCATTGCAGCAGCTCAATATACTGTAATCACAAAACGTTTTCCTAAAATAATGCAGGGAACCACTCTTTATACATTATAGGAGTGCAGGCGTACTATTTTGGTGATGTAATTTGCGCCACGTGCAGTGTACATGGACCCTCGCGTACGAGTAAAAACCGAAGTATACTTTGGCCTTTAAAGCAAGCTAAACATACGCAGCGCGCACACGTTTGTATTTGTGCAGAATGAGAGAGACACTTAAAGCCGAGCGCATTTCACCCAGTCTGCTAGTTTAACTTCTGCTTTAAATAAAGTTGTGTATGCTTGACGTTTAAAATAAATGCTGTTTATAGTGAATGCCCCTATAATTTTTGTTTGTTTTATATTTACGATTTAGTTTTAATCCAAATGCATGCACTAATGGAGCGAGCAGCAATCAAGATCATGCAACAGAAGTGCGCGCTCTCGGACTCTCTCTCTCCTTACCGTCAAATAACTTAAGTAACTTGTGCATTGTTTTAATAACTCCATTCTATTCTCTGTTGTTCTGTTTTCAGTGTTTCTTTTTCTGGACACAGCTCTATTCACACGCTGTTTGGTATCGGCTTTTGGTATCGGGGCATTTTTACGAGTACGAGTACGAGAACAGGAGCGCAGTATCGGGCCCTATAGTATATAACTATATAACTATAGTATATAATACTTTAGAATAATAATGGTACATTTAGTAAGAGTAGAATATATAAATTTTCTATTTGAAAATTAGATATTGCACGTTACTGATATTACTAAAAGTACATTTTGTATGCTTCCCAACTCAAGCTAAGTGCTTTACTGTCAAATGTGTATTACCAAGAAATAAACATGTGGTATTATTAGTAACTGCACTTGTTAATGCAAAGCCATAGTAATTTTATGATTAAATTATCATTATTTTTTGATACCCCACACACCAGCCCCCCCAGCGCTACCAAATCTGCTTCTGACGCCACCATCCGTAGAACTTGGCACTGCTCTCAAATATTAGTCTGGAGCCAGGCACTGTTACATCAGGGTTCACTTTTATGTTCACATTTCACCATTTTTACTTTTATTTCAGAGTTGATTGAAGAAAAAGAGAAGAATGAAGAATCAAGTGAAGTTGAGGAGAAAAATCATGTCAAAACTGGAGAAAAACCTTTGAGTTGCCATCGAACCAAACTGAAAGATTTAAAGAAAAGAAGAGCCAAGAAATCTTTCACCTGCACTCAGTGTGGAAAGAGTTTTACATGCAAAACAAGTCTTGAGCGTCACATGAGAGTTCATACTGGAGAGAAACCATTCACTTGTGATCAATGTGGGAAGAGTTTCACACAATCAGCACACCTTAAGAAACACATGAACATCCACACTAGAGAGAACCAGCACGCATGTGATCAGTGTGGTAAAATATTTTTACGGGCTTCAGTTCTGAAGAAACACTTAAAAGTTCATTCAAAGAAGAAGCCACATTCATGTAATTTGTGTGGTAACAGTTTTTTGCGTCTACAAAATTTGAAAGTAGGTCAGAAAATACATACTGCCGTGGGAGAGTACATGTGCTTTGAGTGTGAAAAGACTTTTACTTCAGAGACCTGTACAAAATTGCATGAAAGCATCCACACTGGAGAAAACCCTTATAAGTGTTCACACTGTGACAAGAGATTCAGTGATTCAGGAGACCTAAAAAGACATAAGAGGATCCACACTGGAGTGAAACCTTATAAGTGTTCACACTGTGACAAGAGATTCAGTGATTCAGGAGACCTAAAAAGACATAAGAGGATCCACACTGAAGAGAAACCGTATCACTGCACTGCATGTGGGAAGCGTTTCATTCAATCATCTTGTCTACACAGGCATACAAAAAACAATCACAGTAAGTAGATCATCTTCACAAAAAATGCATCAAGCAATAAAATATAATCTGGATAAATCTGTCATTACAAGCGACATGGCAAAGAAACATTATCTAACGTTTCACAGTGAATAAAGGTAATCTTCATCAGCCCACACCACGGTAACTAAATTGTGTGCACTCCAACTAGTTAACATGTACTGATATTTACTAAAATATTCTGAATGAAAAAAATAAACAGAGTCTGTGTCTTATTACTAAACATAATGAAAAAAAATTAATTAAATAAATGTATCAAACAACCGAAAGAAAATATAGACAATATTTTAAACAGTCGAGCTTTACTATTTCAAAATCTGAAGAGTATTTGGAATAGATAGTTCACAGGCAATGAAACTTGTCTGTGTCACTGACAGAGGAGCGAACATGAAACCTTATAAGTGTTCACACTGTGACAAGAGATTCAGTCAGTTAGTACATCTGAAAAGACACAATGGGATCCACACTGGAGAGAAACCTCATAAGTGTTCACACTGTGACAAGAAATTCAGTCAGTTAGTACATCTGAAAAGACACAATGGGATCCACACTGGAGAGAAACCTCATAAGTGTTCACACTGTGACAAGAGATACAGTCAGTCAACATATCTGAAAACACATGAGATGATCCACACTGGAGAGAAACCTCACAAGTGTTCACACTGTGACAAGATATTCAGTAGGTCAACAGACCTGAAAACACATGAGAGGATCCACACTGGAGTGAAACCTTATAAGTGTTCACACTGTGACAAGAGATACAGTCAGTCAACATATCTGAAAACACATGAGATGATCCACACTGGAGAGAAACCTCACAAGTGTTCACACTGTGACAAGATATTCAGTAGGTCAACAGACCTGAAAACACATGAGAGGATCCACACTGGAGAGAAACCTTATAAGTGTTCACACTGTGACAAGAGATTCAATAATACATCAAATCTGAAAACACATGAGAGGATCCACACTGGAGAGAAACCGTATCAATGCACTGCATGTGGGAAGCGTTTCAATCGTTCATGTACTCTACACAGGCATACAAAAAACAATCACAGTAAGGCCCTGTACACACAGAGACGCATTTAGCTGTATACGTAAATATTTTGTATCGTATTGACGTTTCGTCCAGACGACTCTGGCATTTTCGGAGCCTGAAAACGCTATTTTTTTAAATCGGGTCTCAAGAGTGGATCAATCTGAAAACGACACCTTTATGTTTTGTGTGTACAGCCAATCCGTATATTTTGTGACATGATGATGTCATCCATCACTCCACGTCTCAACCCCATTCAGACACCGCTACGTCATGTAACAACATCAACAATGGCGGACGGCATGCTTGTGTTTGTGCTGCAAAAGCCCATTAGCTTTACTAACTTTTACTAGCTTTTCTTGTTGTTGCGTTGGGTTTGTATACTGCGCGCAAGGTTGATGCACATTCTCCAAGTCATCTCCTTTTTTAGTGTATCTCTGTAGTAGAATTACAGCGCCACATACTGGTCTGGCATGAATACTACATCATTTTGAGTCAGTTTCAGTGGTTTTGTGTGTATGCAGATTTTTCTTGAGATGACGCCGTGTTTATGGAAGAACAACAAAATAAAAGATTGGATAGGGAAAGCGCTGGTTTCGTGTGGATGAACTCCAAGTAGATCGTCTTCAGATCCAGCACTTTCAGATCGGATGCTGCCTTCTCATCAAATGCTACACAATAATGCATCAAGCAGTAAAATATTATCTGGATAAATCTGTCCTAACCAGTCATAACAAGCGACATGACAAAGAAACATTATCTAAAGTTTTCGCACTGAATAAAGTTCTTCATCTTCAAAACCAGCAGATTCAACTGTGAGATTCAGATCAACTCAAAGATGGAGTTCCTGCCTAAAGAACAATGTCAGAAAGTTTTATTCTTGTATGCTATTTTGCTTCATGATATAAATAATATCATTGTGTTTTCTTGAGAGATTCATATTATGTTCAATTGTCTTATAATGCATATGTTTCACTTGTAGTTTGCTTGTAGACACGTTTTACAAACTGTTCTTGTTCAGGTCACTTTTTTTTTTTTGGTTCACTTTTTTAATATTGTTCTTCACTGTTGTTTTTAAAATGACTTGAGTTATTCTTTCATGTAATGCTGGGTACACACCACAAGATAATCGGGCTGATTTTGGGGCGATTTCTCCCCTTCCAACAATCCTAGGTAATGTCCCGATTATCTTGGTGGTTCTAAAGATTATCTTGTCAGATTTTCCTGTGGTGTGAGGTGTGTTAAGAGTGACTGAATCTGCTCGGAAGAACATCGGAGGCGCCCCAATAGCGAATCATAA